CTGATTTGGTAATCTTTACCACAGGTGTTCGTCTCATTAGAAGTGCCACGAATGAAATCAGACTCCGGCACTGCAGGGGTTGAAAACCACCGTGGCGTAGCAGCTAGACGCTAGCCTGCGGATCCGAAGGGTTCGGATCCTGGTCTTCTCTGGAAATAGGAATCAGTCAATGCTCGTCATCCTTGGCCCCCCGAAACGAAGCATGCCTGTCTGCACGAGGTATGCCTGTCCCGACCTTCCTGAGCATGCTTTCTGAGTCAGTTACAATCACGATGTGTGATGTGTGTATTGTGTTCTCTAGCCAGTGGAAAGCTTCAGTAACCGCCTCCACTTCCATTCTTAAGCTGAATGTTGTGATATCGTATGTACGGCTCTCCTGCACCGAACGTCAACAATTAGCAGCATCAGATACCATATCACAGGCACTGAATCTCAGAAGATCATCTGCTAGTAAAAGAGGATGGCCACTATAGAATGGATCGGCAACATTAAAGAAACTATTTACTTACCCCTTCTTCCCTGTCTATCTTCTTTACGCCTTCCCCGCATGGTAACACTCAGAGCCAGCAATCATGCACTGGATCGCAAAATTGAATCCTCCCCCACGGTGCTTTCAGCAAAATAGGTTAATGATGATTTACTTTGTTATATATTCACTATACTCCATTTCACGTAGCGTGCCATTGATACTTGTTTCACGTGCCACATTAGGCGCGGGTCGTAGGTTGACTCCAGGTTCAGAACTTGCTGACTAGAGAGCGACTATGTGTATGATAATATATGATGACGAGTTCGTGTGCAGACGTTTGTTTGTGTGAATTTTTTTTTTTTTTTTAAACCACCCTTTGATATTTCCAGTTCTAATTGCTAATACAGTCGTTGCTGTGGGGCTGTTAACTTTTTAAAATCTCATACTGTGGTCGCACACCATATTCATTTTTAACACTCCCACGGAAGTAAGCTTGTAGATACTGCATGTGTTGCTTAGATACATACGGAACAAACGTTGGCATATGTTATAGCCAGATTCATTTAGTATGCTTTGACCACAGGTAAAAAGGTACGAAGAAAGATGGCGCGATGTTTTTTTTTTTTTTTACAATAACTGCGAAAAAATCAGCCAGTCGTTGTTTGGGACTAACATTGTTAAGCCAGTTTCATTTCTACAAGCGAAAACAGCGTACAACTAGGTTCTGTGCAAGCTAGCAAGTCACAGACATCACTATGGCGCTATAAAAAGAACATTAAAGTTTAATGCTGGCATTACTGACGACTTTTCACATTTCAGCACATTTTGCCAGCTGTTGTCCGTGCGGCAAATAGTGCTACCGTTAGCAACCCTTGAGCGAGGATATCTTGGTTCAAGCAACATAGGCTTTAGCTGTTGACTACAATACTTTCATTGTCGAAGTTTCATATCGTTTTGTGGCATGTTTTGTTTGGGTTATAACGCTGTGCTTTACAATATTGCATTTGATTAAGTTGTGAGAATACTGTAATCAGTCTGTATAAACGGTCTCTCGACCTGTTCTTCAGGTTTTTTTTTTTTTTTGCGCTTTTCTTAGCCGATTCCACGGTGTAACAGCAGGCTGCTCCAGTTCTAACAATTCTATAAGTTTCTGGAACTACTACTGCTGCTACTGCTACTACTACTATTACTACTATTACTACTACTACTTACTACTACTACTACTACTACTACTACTACTACTACTACTACTACTACTACTACTACTACTACTACTACTACTACTAATACTGCTACTACTACTACTACTACTACTACTACTACTACTACTACTACTACTACTACTACTACTACTACTACTAATACTGCTACCACTACTACTACTACTACTACTACTACTACTACTACTACTACTACTACTACTACTACTACTACTACTAATACTGCTACCACTACTACTACTACTACTACTACTACTACTACTACTACTACTACTACTACTACTACTACTACTACTACTACTACTACTACTACTACTACTACTACTACTACTAATACTACTGCTGTTACAGAAACATTCTTAAATACAGTGGACCATAGAAAACAAAATCTTCGACATCCGGCATGATCTGAAAATCAAGGAGAACTGGCTCGTTAACAGCATCTTCTAGCGACAGCTGGGGTCTTTTGGACACTTCAAGCACCTTTGTGGTCTGGAGAGAAGGGCTATAGGGGGTGCAGTTTCCTGAAAACGAGGCAGAGACAGACCTCAGAGAAGGTGGATACAGGACATTAAAGATGCATAAGCTATGAAAGCACATAGGGCTGGAGAACAAGTTAGAGAAAGAGAGATTCTCATGCCTGCCGTGAAGAGCGACAATCTGTAAAGGATCCGCTGGCTGATTCGGAAATATTTTGGGATATAGCATCAACATTATTTTGAAAAGGTGCCAAATGTTTAATTTTTAATTTAAAAATAGTTTAATCGTCTGTGTTTTGACACACACGCAACACAAACGCACGCACGCACACACACACACGCGCGCGCACACACACACTTATATATATATATATATATATATATATATATATATATATATATATATATATATATATATACATACATATATTAACTGGCTTGATCAGAACTGAAATTCTTTGCCCATTATATCATTACTGTACTATTTTCCCCCCTCCGCTCACTTTGTTACAAAGCTGTTTTGGCGACAACCAGTTGCTGTAATTAATGTCATGCAGCAATAACTTTAAATCTCATTGATGCATTGATTGTTGAAGTTTTCCAAAAAGAGAGACTTTGTGGAAAAAAATAAATAATCCTAGTATTGTTAAACAGAGCGAAAACTCTTTCTGCAGCTGCAAAGGACTGAGGTAATGCCAAAAGATTAGGCATACAATTTGAAAATTTAAAGCTATTTTCATGTAGACATTTTTCTTCAGAAATTACAAACCAGCAAGGGATTGTTGATCTTGCACTATTAGTGCCAGTTATTTTGTTTAAAGTAATGGTCTCTTTTGTCTGCCTCAGGGGTGTTGGGTATATAGGGATAGAAGAAACATCGTACTGTTTGACTGACTGACTGACTTTCTACCCCACCAGGACATCACACAAGCGATAAACACCCGATGACACAAAGTGCCACCATGTGGATGAGGGTCACCGTAGAGAGGTCCCAGAAACCGCGTTCAGACAATTGGCCATATTGATGGCCTGCCTATATTGCGGCCCCTGGCAAAAGCCAGAGTGGGGCTTCAAAAAACAAAAAATTATATCCTGAAAAGGATGTAAAGAATAACTACTGTTTGACTTCTAAATAGATTTATTTGTGACCACAATGTGAAACATAAAATAAACTTTGCCTTTGTGGTAGACAGTTGCTGGTAGATGGTAGAGGAGGAGGAGGTAGGTTACCCCTTCTTCTCTATCTATCTTCTTTTTATAGACCAATGGTTACTTAGTGGGTGATGTAGTCAGAATCACGCCGGCTACCTTTACTTTCCAGGACTGCACCTGGTACCCACTCAAGGCTGGGTTGATCTGGGAGCCAAGGTTATTTTGGAAAAAATATCCGGCTCTGGCAGGACCTGAAGCCCGGGTCTAGCGGTTACACCTCGGCCACTTGCATTACACAACTAATTTGTTGAGAATGTTCTTGTTCAACAAGGCTGGAGAATTTCAAGACCATTTGCATCAACAGTTCTTGCATCAACAATTCTTGCATCAACAATTCTTGCATTAACAATTCTTGCATTAACAGTTCTTGCATCAACAATTCTTGCATTAATAATTCTGGCATTAACAATTCTTGCATCAACAATTCTTGCATCAACAATTCTTGCATTAACAATTCTTGCATTAACAGTTCTTGCATCAACAATTCTTGCATCAACAGTTCTTGCATCAACAATTCTTGCATTAATATTTCTGGAATTAACAATTCTTGCATCAACAATTCTTGCATCAACAATTCTTGCATTAACAATTCTTACATTAACAGTTCTTGCATCAACAATTCTTGCATCAACAATTCTTGCATCAACAATTCTTGCATCAACAATTCTTGCATTAACAGTTCTTGCATCAACAATTCTTGCATCAACAATTCTTGCATCAACAATTCTTGCATCAACAATTCCACCAAGCATATTTTGAATGCTGCTGCAAGTCACACAGAAAAAAAAAAAAAATAAATAAAAGAAATGTTTAACACAGATATATACAAAAAATGCCAATTACTGCCTCTTTGATACCACTTTTGCCGTATAGGCAGTGGGGGTTTGAGCCTGTGGATTTACGACCGCATGGCAAGTGCTGTCGCCACGATTGCGCAGGTGAGAATTTTAGTTTGCCCTAGACAGAATAAAAATTTGCAACCTTACTGAGGATTCAAACCTGGATCTCCCGCGTGAGACAATAACACAATGCCAAAATTTAAATTATTGATGGACAATTTATGAAACAAAGATGAAGCCTTATTACAGGTTTTCGAAAACAGAGTCTTACGACGAATCTTTGGACCTATCAAAGATGCAAACAGCTATGAATGGACAGTGAGAAGCAACAACGAAATTCATAATCTGTTTAAATCACCACTGATCACTGGCATCATGAGGCTGAAATGGTTGGAGCATATTGAAAGAATGTCAGGTGACAGAGAAGTAAAAACTGTATACACCAGGGAGATGAATGGCCGTAGACCACGAGGAAGACCAAGAAGACGATGGAGAGATAATATCCAGACAGACCTGCAAACACTTGGTGTCACTAACTGGAAAGAGAAGGCTAACCAGAAAGATGAATGGAGGCGGGTGATATCTGCAGCAATGAACCTCAAGGGATCGGAATGCTGAAGAAGAAGAATAATAATAATTTATGAAACGTCTCAAAACATTGGGCTTGGTACCAGGAGTACAGTTTTGCCCGGCACAGGTAAACAAAATACCACATGTGTGCCAACTTCGGCAGCCGTGCTTGTGACCGAACTGTTTTTGTCTTTCCATGTCTAGATACAGGATGAAGTGTAATTTGACGCGGCTGGTGAGATGTATCATTGTCGTTGTTATCACCATCCTCTTCATCAACGTCGCCGTCTTCCTCAATTCAGCCCAGGGCCCTTTGTCCAGGGGCATTGAAGAGGGGTTTCTGCCGGTGCTTCGGAGGTTGGGAGGTAAGTGCGATGAACCGATAGGACAAGGTTTCGTTTATAGTATCTGGTGAAGACAGGCATATCCGTTTAAAAAAAGTGAACTAAACAACACAGTTAATCAAATCGACTCATGATCTTCAAAACTCCCAAGAAAATGATTTGACTACTTATCTACAAAGACCTCCATTTGGACTTTGAGAAACATAAACTTTTAGTGCCCATTCTTCACTATAAGTACTTGCTCCAAAAAAAAATATTTTGGAGTGGGCTTCTTACAGTCCAATGCCAACTTCAAAATGAATTAATCTTTAATGTGTGCAGTCTCTATAAGTACATCGGTATCCGGGTACCTTGCTGGGAAGAAAAACAATCGTCCCGTTCAACCAGAATCCAAGAATGGGAAACTTTAGGTTATAATTGTGACTACGTTATGTGCACCATGTAAAATTGCTTAGCCTTTGCACGCCACTAATAGAACTAAAAAATGACTTCTGCAGTGTAGATACGATCAAAGGAGACAGACTCAAATACTGTCCCAACCGGCGACGAATTCGTCTAGCGGCGAGCCAATTGGTGACCTGGTCGCTGGTGGTGTAATGGCAGCGGTTCTCAACCTGTTGGTCGCGACCGTTTGTGGATCGAACGACCTTTTCACATGGTTCGCCAAAGACCATCAGAAAACATATTTTCATTGAAGTTAAGCAGTGGCAACGAAAATAACTGTATGGCTTGGGGTCGCCAAAACACGAGGAGCTGTATGAAAAGGTCGCGGCTTTAGTTAGGTTGAGACCACTGGTGTAATGCGACTTTACCTCCCATTGTCCCTAGGACCAGGCCGTCCCTTCGGTATTTCACAAACCCGCTAGTCTCGTTTTCGTACACATCAACAAGTAAACTCCATAATACAACAGGGAAGGCTAACCCGGTCAACAAATGGCCGCAGAAGTCGGATGTGTCGGCCCAAAGGAGCAAATATGGCAATCATGATGTAAACAGGAATAACATGAGCATATCTTCGGATGAACGCGGAAGAGGAAGATTCATAATAGAACACACACTTGTTTTTATGTCTGTAGATCTCATTGATTGGGCAGTTTTTTTTAAACACTTTTCTAATGATCCGCAATGTATTGATGGAAATTCAGACTACAGCGTGCATTCTCAACTTAGTAAAAGAGCTAACAAACTGTTTGTCGTTTGTTTCTGGACGACAATGGATTGCCTTTTAATAGCATTATCGAGCGAGTAATTAACTCTGTCACCACAACGGTCCTGTACAATAAGGTGTCTGTGTGTGTTTAAATGTGTGTGTGTTGCGTGTGTGTGCGCGCGTGTGTGTGTGTGTGTGTTGTGTGTGGAAAAGAGGGAGATTTTCGGGGGGAGGTGGGGGGGATTGGGGGGGGGGGGGGGGGGTTAACTACTTTTTTTAGATGGGATGTCCCGTTTACATCTAAAGATCCTATGATCTCCCTGCATAGGCGCCGTATTTAGGAGGTGTGCAGTGCACGTATCTGTGGTATTTATGAACGAACGAACGAACGAACTTTATTTTCAAAAGGTCACAAATTGGGCACGCAGGCCCGTCTTACATTCGGCCCTTCCAGTCAACCATCTTTCGCACAGCAGTTGTATTTTACTAATAAAGCATGTTATGATCATATGATGATATGCATATTATGAAAATTATAAAAGAACACAAAAGCATGAGTTGTAAAGTGCATGCAAAAACCCGCGCGTGCATACATACACCCACATACACACGCTCACCCACTCACTTACACACACATACATGCATGCATACATTACATACATACATACATACTGGCATATATACACACATACAAACAAAAAAACATGCATACACACGTACACACAGGCATACATACACACAAACATACATACATAGATACAAACATACAGGCATAATACATACATTCAACATACATACGTAATACAGGTACACATATACAAACATACAGTCATAAATACAGTCATGCATGGAGACACACACATGCACACACGGACACTCCCACAGAGACACACACACTCAGACAAAAATACAGACACACACACAGACACTTACATATAAACAGACACAGGGAAACACACAGCATACATATTTAAATTCGTGCTCACACGCTGACACACACACCACACATACGCAGACAAACATGCAGACACATACATACAGCCACATAGACACACACGCAGTCAAACACACACACACACACACAAATACAGACAAACAGGCAGAAAAAACACATACTGACACCCACAGAGACAAACACGCAGAAATGCATACACATACAAACACATAGAAATACACACACAGATACATATATTCAGCACGCACAGACATATACTCTGACATGCAGACACATACAGACAACAAAGGGGCACACACAATACACACAGAGAAACACACATAGACATGCACAGACAGACACATGCTGATACATACACTCACGCAGACAGACATACAGACACCCACACACAGAGATACATACATACAGCCTCATAGACACACCCGCAGACAAAACACATAAACATACACAGGCAAACATGAAGACAAACACATACGGGGACACACACAGACACAAACGAAGATATACACACAGTCACATCAAATATGCAGAAAAACACCGAGACACAGACACATGCAGACAAACACAGAGACACACACACACAGACACATATACACAGCCACATGTATCCAATCGCACACACACACACGCAGACACACATACACAGCAAAGAGGCACACTTAAACACACAGAAACACACACAGACCAGTTCACACTGAAACATACACGTGAACATACGCGCGAACACACACACATTTGCACACATACACAAGGACACAGACGCATACATTCGCAGACACACACGTAGTTACACTAGCAGACAAACAACATACTGAGAGTCATAGTGCACACGGGAAGCCACTGTGGTGTAGCGTATAGAAGCTCACCTGCGGATCGAAAGGCTGTGGGTTCGGATCCTGGAGCGAGTGATAGTTGTGTGACATACTCTACAGAAAATCTTGAAGTAAGTGAAGAAAAGCTTCCTTATCACTCCTTAAACCGCATCTGGCATATGGGAAGAGCACCCATATGTTTACAGACCAATCGGCACTAGGTGGGCAGTGTGGTCAGCATTACGCCGGCTGTCTTTACTTCCCCAGCACATACATCATGGTACCAATTTAAAGCTGGGTCGACCTGCGACGCTCCAAACCACGATAAAAATCCCCGCTGCCAGCAGTGGGTTTCGATCGCGGTACGTTGGAATTACGAGTCGGACTCGCAACGCCAAAGCCACGGACGCCGCAGATAATGCTGGAGCCCGGAATGATTTTCCTTGTGTAACTTTCTCCTATCCTTTTGGCACACACCAGGGGGCGATTCTCACAGAACATACGAGTCCACAACGACTGCGCCCCTGAGGCTCAACTCCTCGACCACCTGTCCCGGCCTTCAAATGTTGGAGCTGCCCAGAGCCGGAGTATTCCAGGTGACTACATACATTACCAGCTTGAACCGTCGTCGCCATCATCATCATCATCATCATCGTCATCATCGTCATCATCATCGTCGTCGCCATCTTCATCATCATCACCATCATTGTCATCATCATCATCATCATCATCATCATCATCATCATCCGTATCATCATCATCATCATCATCATCATCATCATCATCATCATCATCATCATCATTATCATCATCGTCATCATCATCATCATCATCATCATAATCCTCATCATCATCGTCATCAGCATCAACATCATCGTCATCATTATCCTTATCATCATCGTCATCAGCATCAACATCATCATCATCATAATCCTCATCATCATCGTCATAAGCATCAACATCATCGTCATCATCATCATCATCTTCGTCGTCATAATCATCATCATCATCATCGTCGTCATAATCATCATCATCGTCATCATCATCATCATCATGTTGAAGGTCCTTCGAAGAAAGTTGCTCTATTGACTGTTTGCCTAAAAGAAACTCGTTATCTCGCCGGCTCTCCCGCCTCGTACACTTTCCTACTCAAGATGTTTTACCCCTCTCCGGATGTGCAGTCCGTAGAATTAACATCTTAGGGATGAGAATCACGCAGATAAAAATCCAGGAAACCCGGTTCAACCCTCAAGCCATATAGCACGATTATATTGGGGCACCCCAACACGGCTACTATATTAAGTGGTACCTCGAGTCACAAACTTTTGACTCCGTTTGCGAACCATAATGTTCGCGAGCTAAAATAATTGTCCCCATTGAAATCAGTGCGGGTCAATTTGTTCGTTCGGCTGCCACAGACACAAGGACCGGTTTAACACTATTTAATGCTCTAGGCACGTGAAAGATTGTGGTTTCCCCTTACCTCTTCTCCTGCAACACACACCCTAAACATCATTATGGACCCTCGGGCAAACCAGTGTTCTGGTGCCTCTATGACAACCACTTAACCATAAGTAAAGATAAAGGACCTTTTTCCACGTTTTAGGCATATAAGGCTAGACCTACATTTTTATAGACCAATCAGTATTAGGGTGGGTGATATGGTCAACATCACACCGGCCGCCTTTACTTCCCACGACTTTCCCTGGTACCCACTCAAGGCTGGGGTGGCCTGGGAGCCAAGACTATTTTTGAAGAAAGCCTGGTTCCGCGACGACTCGAACCCACGACCCACTCACCCCCCTTCACCCACCACCCCGTATTTTCCATATGTGTGATTCTAAAATTCTAGATAGAAACAACAATAAACCATAACATAATATTTTAATTATCGCAATTAAACAAAACTGGTCCTGTTAACGTTTCGTGACCTATCTAAAAACTGGCCAACCTTTCATTCATATTTTCTCAGACTATTCTACGTCGGAGGGGTGTCACGCTGTCTTTCTTTCTATTACATCTGCGACGATGTCATGTGTTCTATAACAAACGACTACACAGCTTTTAACCACCCGAGAACATGTAGAACTGGCCCTAACCTAAACCCCCCTAACCACAGCCTGAGTCTAGGTCCCACGAGAGACTGTTTTGGAAGAAAGTAGTTCAACGTGACACCCCTCTGACAGGGACCAGACTGAGAAAGTGTGTAGATGGGCCGGGAAACGTGAATAGGACCACAACAATTATTGTAGGATGTATATCTACGTTTACTTCCACTTTATTTATATTTGAAAATTGTTCTCCCACTATTTGTTTTTTAATTACAAATTCGTTGATCAGATCTCCAAACACATCTTATGTAACACACGTGCTTTTATACTTAACTTTTTAATCCCAACAGTTGTTACAAGATCTGTTCAACTTCTAACAGGGTGCACTATAGAGAATCAATCTTTCAATCCTAATGGGTTAAAATAGTACAATTATATGACAGAACAAGTTAGAGTAATAACAGGAGACAATGAGTTAACATAACAAAATACCAAGGAAGAGAGAGTTATGAAACATATACCGCGTGTGGACTACGCAAGCGACGTATGGCGAATTGTTTGGTACTGAAAGAGTTAATAATAGAGGTAAGGCGTCCAGCCCGCATTGTGGCGTTGCTGTTCTGATAAGATTTCTTGTTAACTCTTTGAGTCCCAGGGGGTTTAGTATTAAAGGCCCAAGGGGTAGTCAAAAAAGACGTAAAATCAGCGCATCTTGCGTTCATTGGGCTTCATTGGAACATATGAACGTAAGATACGTTCCTTGGGACTCAAAGAGTTAAACTACACTTCAGCGGAATAAATACATCCTCAGCTCCAAGCTTGCTGAACAATTATGTGGTGGCTCCTTCATTTGTGATGCTCGTAGCACGTGCTTACTGTATTTACGTTTATCGCAGAAACATCTTACTGTTTGACTTCTAAATGGGTTTATTTGTGACCAAAATGTGTAACATAAAATAAACTTCACCTTTGTGGTAGACAGTTGCTGGTAGATGGTAGAGGAAGAGGAGGTAAGTTACCTCTTCTTCCCTATCTATCTTCTTTTACCCCACCAGGACATAAGCGATGAACACCAGATGACACAAAGTGCCACCATGTGGATGAGGATCACCCGTGGAGAGGTCTCAGAAACCGCGTTCAGCCATTAAACCATATTTATATCCGGGCTATATTGCGGCCCCTGGCAAGAGCCCGTGTTTACCCCTTCAAAGGAGAGTCCTATTTACGGCGTCAAGTCATGTCGAAAGCCATTGCCAAGCAGCCTGCAGTGGATCGCAAATTATCCATCCCCATGACGCTTAACGGCAAAAGTTGTCAATGATAATGATGTTTATGACATAATGTCTGGTATCAATCTGTTTCAGGAAGTCATAGGACGCAGTATGTATGTTTATTCAGCTTTCCTGGACCAGGGCGCGGTGAGAATGGTCGGTTTGATGGAAGAAAATGTTGTTGTCACTCCTCTCACATGTCAGTTGTGGTTCAATGTTAAAGGTCGTGACCCGCTCGTCCTGACTCCTGCCACGTGGGAAAGTATGCCAGAGAATCATGGGAGGAGGTCAGTGCTGTTTAAGGCGTCAATGACTGGTTCTGGTTCGTTATTAATAATTTATCCCCAAATACGGGGTTTTGTCCCTTTCTTTTTGTTTACCTGATCTCACGGACTTTGAGATTTGGTGGCGAGTTTTCGGGAAAGTCCCAGCATTATAGGGGTCTTAGGGTGTGAAATGAATACTAATTAACACTTACACCCCTATAATATTGGCTTTTTCCGGAAACTCTTCGTGATATCTCGAAGTCACCTAGGTGAGATGAACAATCAGGAAAGTTTCCAGGAGTTTACCTGAAAGTCTATTATTAGAGGGGCGTTAAAGTTAGGGTTAGCTAGTCTTCATTTCAAAACTCCCCTCTAATATTGGACGTTTCTGGAAACCCCGCCATTTCACCCTGTTTAAAAAGATAATAAAGAGTAAAGATCCATTTTCACGCTTTTAGGCGCATCTGGAATATAGGAGGAGCACCCATATTTTTACAGACCAATCGGCACTAGGTGAGAAATGGGGTCAGCATTACGCCGGCCGTCTTCACTTCCCCTAGACATACATCATGGTACCCATTTTGGGCTGGGTCCACCTGCGACGCCCCATACCATGATAAAAATTGACACAGCCAGCAGTGGGTTTCGATAGTATACTGGAATTACGAGTCGGAGTCGCAACGCCTAAGCCACGGACGCCACTATTCCCCATGTTTGAGGTAAATATTTAAAAAAAAAACATGTTTCTTCTCCTGAGGGATTTTTCCCTGTTTCTTTTCCTAGATGACTTTCTCTGTAAATAAATATATTTTTAATAACCGTGTCGGTTTAACCTCAGCTGCTTCTCTGTGCTCAAATGTTTAAAGTGCCTGTACTCTACTGCTGTCGGCTCTGTGGCTAAGTCGATGCGAACCCTTCGTAATGCCGGGATGCCATGTTCGATCCCAGTTGCGTGCCATGCGCCTGGCGTTGGTTTCAACAGTAGTATCAAGAAAGCGGACCATCCAGTAGGCAATGGCAAACTACTGGACGTAAATTTGACTAGAAAAAAAAAACACCACACAACAGCCAGGGACTGTTGGGGTTGGTTCTGCAACGTCCTGAAAAGGATACGCAACAAACTCTACTGCTATGAGAGCAATGGTGGCGTAGCGGCTAGACACTCACCTGAGGATCCTAAGGTCGATTGACTGTTCGGGTCCTGAGGGATCCAGACTTTTTTTCTTTTCTTCCAAAGATGTCTTTGACTCCCTTGTTTACCCAGCCTTAGATGGCGACCAGCTAAAGTCCTGGAATGTAAAGACGGCCGTCGCGATGTTAAGCACATCACCCACCTACTGCTAATTAGTCAGTAAAATATACGTCTAGCCCTATATGCCCTGTACATCTGTAGACGTGGAAAAGTATCTTTAAAAAAAAAAAGGTTTAGCGGAGAACTAAACAGATTCCGTCAAATGTAGAGCTGAAGAAAACACACTTCAAGATTATGCATAGAGTTCAGTTCAGCACTTTTGGCACTCATTAACTTTCTCTTTAGTTTCGCTCTGACCTCATTGTTTTCATCAGTTTCCCACTTTAGTACTTGTTAAGTGATTCTCTGCTGGTTTCTTCTCAGGATGTGTCCAGTATAGCGTCATCTTCACACTGTCTTTTAACTGTTGATACTAGTGGTTAACTAGTCAATTCTCTTGTTTCCTCACCCCACTTCAAACTACTGCTGCTTCTTAATTTTTTTTATTGCGTTCGGTTTCGTATGCTCAGATCAGACCATCAGGTGGGTTGCCTCTATGAATTCGCATGTCAGTAGCAGGTCCTTGATGGTTTCCCAAAGCTAGCTCTGCACACTTTGCTCTAAAGGCCAGGTGTCTTTTGGAAGTTGTGTGTAGAGTGGGCAGGTCTGCAGAATGTGCTCAGGTGTTTGTGGTCCTGTCTGGCATGCACACAGTGGGGACTGTACAGTCTTTATTTTATGCATGTCACTTTAAACCATTCCGTTTTATCTTATCCATTGTCCCCAGCCATTTGTGTTCGTTTCCAAATCTTTAGTATTTCTCCAGTTTTACTGGCAAATGTTCAAACTGAAATGTCTAACGTTATTCTTCTTCTTACGCATTTCTAGCCCCCAATGGAGCATAGGTCCTCTACCAACTCTCTCCAGCTCCCTTCTCCATGTGTTTTGTTGGCCTTCCTTTATTCCCATACCGCTGTGGGTTCCAATACAAAGAACTTCTAGTTATGTTTTCCGCTTTTCTCCGCGTGTGTCCTATCCAACGCCAGCGTCTTTATTTTACCTCTTGGTCCACTGGAGCCTGTTCAGTTCTCTCCCAGAGCTCTACATTAGTGATTCTATCATACCATTTAATTCCCTCTATTCTGCGCAGGCACCAGTTAATGATTGTCTGTAGTTTATTAGTAATTGCCTTGGTTGTTCTCCATGTTTCCGCCCAATACAAAATAACTGATTTGACATTGCAATGCATTAAATCCCCAGATACACAGCTGCGATGATACATTGCAGTATATTAAATCACAAGATACACAGCTGTGATGATACACTACAGTATATTAAATCCCTAGATACGCAGCTGTGATGATACACTGCAGTATATTAAATCCTCAGACTCACAGCTGCGATGATAGAATACAGTACATTAAATCCCCAGATACACAGCTGCGATGATACATTGCAGTATATTAAATCACAAGATACACAGCTATGATGATACACTACAGTATATTAAATCCCCAGATACGCAGCTGTGATGATACACTGCAGTAAATTAAATCCTCAGACTCACAGCTGCGATGATAGAATACTGTACATTAAATCCCCAGATACACAGCTGCGATGATACACTGCACTAAATTAAATCCCCAGATACACAGCTGTGATGATACACTGCCCGATTTCGTGTTCTACAACCACTCTTCGGGTCCCAATGTTGACAAGGTGAGAAGTCAGTCAGTTCTCTTTCCTCCTGAGCCTAGGGCGGTGCCTAGGGCAGAGGTCACAGCTCTCCATGTCTGGCGGTTATTCCAACCTGTTTTAGGTCTTGGGTGTTAGTTAGGCCCCTGGCTAAGCCCTTCCTGATGATGGTTCAACGCGGGGTCTCTCCTTGTCTTCCCTGTTCTCTTTTGCCTTCCAGTGTTCTTATGAGGGCTTGATGGGAAAGTGGTCGGCTCTGTGGCTAAGTCGATGCAACTGCTTCGTAATGCCAAGGTGCCGGATTCGACCCCAGCTGCGGGCCATGCGCCTTGCATTGGTTTCGAAAGTGGTATCAAGAAAGCCGACCGTCCAGTAAGCAATGGCAAACTACTGGGCGTAAATTTGCCTAGAAAAACCACACAACAGCCAAGGGCTATTAGGGTTGGTTCTGCAACGTCCTGTAAAGGATACGCAACTAACCTGAAATAGGAAAGTGTTGTTTTATCCATTCTGAGAAGGGAACAGTATATCTACATATCACAACATGCTTCTCCGAGAAAGGGCCCGGCTCTTTGACTGTTTTTTTGTTTGTTGTTGTTGTTGCGTATTGGTTCCTGGACCTTTATGTGTGTGTGTAAAAAGGGAGGGGGGGGAGGGGGGGGGGGGGGTGTGAAAAGACTTACTGTCCCTATCAAGCATGTCGTAGAAGCCAACTAATCAAGTGTGTTTCCTTTAAAGTCTCGCTGCATCTACCTGAGAGGCGAGGAACCCACAGTCTATTTAAAATTGAGGCAGATCTGTAAAATAGATTTGCACGCAAAACTCAAGTTCTGGATGAAGGTTAAAGTCCAGGAGTGGACGAACAACCAGAGCATTCCGCCGGAGTTTACAGCCGGTGAACTATAAGAAGATGAAGGTCCTCCGTGTGGGTTCCGGGGCCCCATTGTGGGGAAAACAAGAAAAGACCCACTGCCTCCCCAAAAGCATGTCGTAAGAGTCGACTAATTGGGGAACTTCCTTTGAAGTCGGAGTGCATCTGACGGAGAGGCAAGGAACCAACAGTCTGTATTCAAGAGAATAAGATCTGTAAAAATGATGCACACGCCAACACTCAGGTTCTGGAGCAGGACTGCAGTTCAGTAGTGGACGAGCAACCAGAACTTTCCGCCAGAGTGTACAGCTGGTAAACGCGAAGAAGAAGAAGACATCCCATCTACACAAGTTTTGTCATTATTATCAAGTAGCCAGGCGATAAGGTTAGGCTTTATTGTTTCACAACCTCAACGATCACCGGAATCATGGAGCAAGTCAGTGCGCTTGCCTCTCCCCGTACATATGCCTAAGCTTTCCCTGTATTTATCTCTTCGTCTCCCCCTTGCGCTTTTCCTGTTATCTTGCTTGTTGCAGTCAAGTTCTCGAACTCCTTTCATATCCAAGAACCCCGACTGTGTACGTCCAGTTTCTTTGATAAGTTTACAGTTGTCATCTTTCTCAAAGAGGACTATATGTCCTCTTTGTCGGTCATTCCGTGATAGAAAATCATGTAGTTGATTACCCTGTAATGTTATAATAGGTCCTGTACTGTCAGAACTGGTCCTGTAATGTTACAACTTGCCCTATAACGTTACAATAGGTCCTGTAAGGTTAGAACATGCCCTATAATGTTAGAGAGGCCCTGTAAGGTTAGAACATGTCCTATAATGTTAGAAAGGCCCTGTAAGGTTAGAACATGTCCTATAATGTTAGAGAGGCCCTGTAAGGTTAGAACATGTCCTATAATGTTAGAGAGGCCCTGTAAGGTTAGAACATGTCCTATAATGTAAGAGAGGCCCTGTAAGGTTAGAACATGTCCTATAATGTTAGAGAGGCCCTGTAAGGTTAGAACATGTCCTATAATGTTAGAGAGGCCCTGTAAGGTTAGAACATGTCCTATAATGTTAGAGAGGCCCTGTAAGGTTAGAACATGTCCTATAATGTTAGAGAGGCCCTGTAAGGTTAGAACATGTCCTATAATGTTAGAGAGGTCCTGTAAGGTCAGAACATGTCCTATAATGTTAGAGAGGCCCTGTAAGGTTAGAACATGTCCTATAATGTTAGAGAGGCCCTGTAAGGTTAGAACATGTCCTATAATGTTAGAGAGGTCCTGTAAGGTTAGAACATGCCCTATAATGTTAGAGAGGCCCTATAAGGTTAGAACATGCCCTATAATGTTAGAAAGGTCCTGTAAGGTTAGAACATGCCCTATAATGTTAGAGAGGCCCTGTAAGGTTAGAACATGTCCTATAATGTTAGAAAGGTCCTGTAAGGTTAGAACATGTCCTATAATGTTAGAAAGGCCCTGTAAGGTTAGAACATGCCCTATAATGTTAGAGAGGCCCTGTAAGGTTAGAACATGTCCTATAATGTTAGAGAGGCCCTGTAAGGTTAGAACATGTCCTATAATGTTAGAGAGGCCCTGTAAGGTTAGAACATGTCCTATAATTTTAGAGAGGTCCTGTAAGGTTAGAACATGCCCTATAATGTTAGAGAGGCCCTGTAAGGTTAGAACATGTCCTATAATGTTAGAGAGGCCCTGTAAGGTTAGAACATGTCCTATAATGTTAGAGAGGCCCTGTAAGGTTAGAACATGTCCTATAATGTTAGAGAGGCCCTGTAAGGTTAGAACATGCCCTATAATGTTAGAGAGGCCCTGTAAGGTTAGAACATGCCCTATAATGTTAGAGAGGCCCTGTAAGGTTAGAACATGCCCTATAATGTTAGAGAGGCCCAGTAAGGTTAGAACATGCCCTATAATGTTAGAGAGGCCCTGTAAGGTTAGAACATGTCCTATAATGTTAGAGAGGCCCTGTAAGGTTAGAACATGTCCTATAATGTTAGAGAGGCCCTGTAAGGTTAGAACATGTCCTATAATGTTAGAGAGGCCCTGTAAGGTTAGAACATGCCCTATAATGTTAGAGAGGCCCTGTAAGGTTAGAACATGTCCTATAATGTTAGAGAGGCCCTGTAAGGTTAGAACATGTCCTATAATGTTAGAGAGGCCCTGTAAGGTTAGAACATGTCCTATAATGTTAGAGAGGCCCTGTAAGGTTAGAACATGCCCTATAATGTTAGAAAGGTCCTGTAAGGTTAGAACATGTCCTATAATGTTAGAGAGGCCCTGTAAGGTTAGAACATGCCCTATAATGTTAGAAAGGTCCTGTAAGGTTAGAACATGCCCTATAATGTTAGAAAGGTCCTGTAAGGTTAGAACATGTCCTATAATGTTAGAGAGGCCCTGTAAGGTTAGAACATGCCCTATAATGTTAGAAAGGTCCTGTAAGGTTAGAACATGTCCTATAATGTTAGAGAGGCCCTGTAAGGTTAGAACATGTCCTATAATGTTAGAGAGGCCCTGTAAGGTTAGAACATGTCCTATAATGTTAGAGAGGCCCTGTAAGGTTAGAACATGCCCTATAATGTTAGAAAGGTCCTGTAAGGTTAGAACATGTCCTATAATGTTAGAGAGGCCCTGTAAGGTTAGAACATGTCCTATAATGTTAGAGAGGCCCTGTAAGGTTAGAACATGTCCTATAATGTTAGAGAGGTCCTGTAAGGTTAGAACATGTCCTATAATGTTAGAGAGGCCCTGTAAGGTTAGAACATGTCCTATAATGTTAGAGAGGCCCTGTAAGGTTAGAACATGTCCTATAATGTTAGAGAGGTCCTGTAAGGTTAGAACATGTCCTATAATGTTAGAGAGGCCCTGTAAGGTTAGAACATGTCCTATAATGTTAGAAAGGTCCTGTAAGGTTAGAACATGTCCTATAATGTTAGAGAGGTCCTGTAAGGTTAGAACATGTCCTATAATGTTAGAGAGGCCCTGTAAGGTTAGAACATGTCCTTTAATGTTAGAGAGGCCCTGTAAGGTTAGAACATGCCCTATAATGTTAGAGAGGCCCTGTAAGGTTAGAACATGCCCTATAATGTTAGAGAGGCCCTGTAAGGTTAGAACATGTCCTATAATGTTAGAGAGGCCCTGTAAGGTCAGAACTGGTCCTGTAATGTTAGAACTGGTCTTGTAAAGTTAGAAATGATTTTTCAGTAGTATAATAGGCCATGTAATGTTATAATAGGCCATGTAATGTTATAATAGGCCATGTAATGTTATAATAGGCCATGTAATGTTAAAATAGGCCATGTAATGTTATAATAGGCCATGTAATGTTAAAATAGGTCAGGTAATGTTAGATTTGGACCTATAACGTTTGAATTGGTCCTGTAATACTATAATTGTTCATGTTGTTTTATATTATACTTTGTAATGTTTAAATAAGTTATGTAAGTTCAGAATTAGTCCTCTAATATTAGAATTGGTCATGTGGGACGTGTTGTCCATTCTTGCATATGAGAGACCTGCTTCGCATTGCCATATGTCGTTGTTATCAATTTAAAATGCACATGGTAACAAAAAGCGTGAAGCTCATGACACTTTGTTTTTATTGCCAGGTTTTAGAGATGTATTCCCGGGCAGGTGAAGTCGAAGTCCACCCTTGGCACTTGCCAGTGAAGACTGACACCTGGCCCCCGACTGGAGAACCAGAAGTACATTACTTTGCCCAACTGGCTGCCCTCAACGACTGCCTGTACCGACACAAGACCAGCTCCAAATTCCTGGTGTTTCAGGACCTGGATGAATTCATCATCCCCTACAACTATGACAGCTGGGCGGAGCTTATTACCGACCGGATAGCTCAGTTTGGCGAACCAACCGTATTTTATTTCAAGTGTATCTTTTTTAGAAAAGAATGGCAGAAATCATCAGAACAGTTTGAAGTAGCCGCCGAGAAATATAAATCAGTGATATTAAGACACACTATGAGGGAGAGCGTCTATCTTCCTTTCGGGACCAGATCCAAATATATTTTAAACCCTAAATTTACAAGTCTGGTCGGGGTGCACCAAGTGTGGAAGAAATCTGGTAACGAGGATTCTGTCCCTGAAAGTGAGGCAGGTCTTCATCATTACAGGACTTGGGAACTACCGAATGACCCGCAGGTTCGGATGGAAGATGTGAGGGCAATAAATCGATTCGGCTCTCGATTGGTTGACAAGCTGCAGCAAGTCTGGTCACGATTGGATGGAGTTCCTATGGATATCAATATCAGCGTTTATGGTGATCATGTATGAAGTGAGTTTAGTTCCTGTTAGCTGACTGTTGGTATTACGTTCTGGTGTTGCAACACGCAAAAGCCGTGTTATGTGGAGGTGGGATAAGTCACCTAGGGAATGAGAATAAAATGAGGAAAGAAATGATTGCAGATAGACTGAGAGCCAAGTGGCTGAAACAAAGCTCACTAAATATATGTCATGGCACACCACAACAATCCTGAAATCGCATGCTCCAATTGTGGATGACTTTTCCTAAGGCGGGTGGGTCTTGCTAGTCACACTCGCCATTGCCATGGGTTACGACTCCCTTGCTTCCCCATAGCGCAGTACAACACTATCGTCTTTGAAGACGGAAAGGTGCCAGCAGAAAGGTAGTATATGTATGTTGTAGCTTGTAAAATTATGACACGTCAGTATATATTTCCTAGACATGTTATGGAAAGGAATGCCCTCTAGAACTTGGTCACGTCCGGGAAGATGGATGGAAAAGAGAACAAGTGGAAGGAAACGTGATAAATTCTTGGATGGCTTAGTCCTATGTATGGAGCAAGACCAGAACGCTGACTGGATGTGCGATTCTGGTGATCATGTGTGATGGCGAAGCATGTCAGCTTCCGCTTATCGGCACGACACATGATAATGATTAGGCTTACCACCAGTCCTTTCTTTAATACAGGAGTCCAGGGAATTACCTCACTGTTTCTGGTCAAGTCTGCACATAGTATAATTCCTTTTCCCTTCCACTTATCCTCTCCGACCTGCTACCTGAAAATGTGGTCACCCTGAGACACCATAAACTTAGTCAGGATTATACACCAGCAAAGTAAATCTGATACCTTGTTCAACTGACAAAGAAGTTGTAGTCTGAGCATCCGTAGGGACCACACCAGCTTTGTGTAAACCTGCAGTCTTGTGTGGGTGAGGATCAATGGTCTCCTCAAATGTTCCTGGAACTGGGGAAGTGACTGAGAATATCTAGGATACAATATGGCAACGTTTACAGAAACTATCTTGCGGAGTTAGCATGACATTCTGAAAATCAAAACCCGTTATAAAACTGACTCATCGAATCATCGACAGCTTCAAAACCCGCCTGGTTAATCTCGCATTTAATTTGTTCAATAATTCCTGGACGTTTGTTTTAAACTCTGTTTTTCCGGACATGATTCCGTTTTAAACTCTGTTTTTTCCGGACATGATTCTGTTTTAATCTCTGTTTTTTTCCCCGTACATGAGTTTGTTTTAAACTCTGTTGTTCCGGACATGATTCCGTTTTAAACTCTGTTTTTCCGGACATGATTTTGTTTTAAACTCTTTTTTTTGTGTGTGTGTGGACATGATCCGGTTTTAAACTCTGTTTTCCCGGACATGATTAAGTTTTGAACTAACACATAGTTACACTGCAGTGAACAAGGCAAGTGAATACTACAAAAGACGAACCATTTTTAAGATAGAATACTTTGTTTTTTATGGAACAAACTGTATGGAATCTTAGTTCATTGTTTACGTAAATAGAATAGTTATCATGAATTTGATTGAATGACCGTTTTGTTTAATTGCATTTACCTAACATATTGAGCATTGTGAAAATCAAAATACATACATTCAGTATTCTCTGCAGGTAGCTGGTATACAGGGTATTAAGATTAATTTAATATGAATAACGATAACAGTTACATTATGTATATACTCAGTACTCCTCAAAGTCTGGAAACGAATTCATGAAACTTTTCATGACCACCCATGGTTTGTTACAGTCACGGAGTTTGTCTGTCTGTCTGTTTTCCCCGTCCTATGTAGACAGCACGCACATCACTGTATATCTACGTCTTCGTGTGACTGTCTGCTGTAGCAGAGGGTACACTAGTTGTCTGCTGTAGCAGAGGGTACACTAGTTGTCTGCTGTAGGAGAGGGTACACTAGTTGTCTGCTGTAGGAGAGGGTACACTAGTTGTCTGCTGTAGGAGAGGGTACACTAGTTGTCTGCTGTAGGAGAGGGTACACTAGTTGTCTGCTGTAGGAGAGGGTACACTAGTTGTCTGCTGTAGCAGAGGGTACACTAGTTGTCTGCTGTAGGAGAGGGTACACTAGTTGTCTGCTGTAGGAGAGGGTACACTAGTTGTCTGCTGTAGGAGAGGGTACACTAGTTGTCTGCTGTAGGAGAGGGTACACTAGTTGTCTGCTGTAGCAGAGGGTACACTAGTTGTCTGCTGTAGGAGAGGGTACACTAGTTGTCTGCTGTAGGAGAGGGTACACTAGTTGTGTGCTGTAGGAGAGGGTACACTAGTTGTCTGCTGTAGCAGAGGGTACACCAGTTGTCTGCTGTAGGAGAGGGTACACTAGTTGTCTGCTGTAGCAGAGGGTACACTAGTTGTCTGCTGTAGGAGAGGGTACACTAGTTGTCTGCTGTAGGAGAGGGTACACTAGTTGTCTGGAGATCAAATTGTTGGTGATGACACAAAGCACCACTTCGGCGAGTGTCCCTTAATTTCTCACCGGTAGACGACTTCGTCGCCGGTCAAGACAGTATTTGGGTCTGTCTTTTTTTAAATGTCAATAATGCTGCAGAAGTCCCTTATTTCAGGGCTTTTGGTGGCTTGAGGTGCTAAATATTTTTATATGGCGCACATAACCTAGTCACAATTATAACCTAAAGCTCCCCCTTCAGGGATGCTGGTTAAACATGACGATTCTTTTCTCCAAAAAAGCACAAGGCTACGCCAGGAAGCAAAGATTTGTTGGATTAGGGACTTTTCGGGTACCTAGTCAGAAAACAGCATTAGGAAGGAAACAATGAGTGAATCTATGAGTGAATCAAGAATCAACACCACTGTGCTCTGGACATTCCTACACATGATGTGTCCCCTACTCAGCAGCCAACGAAAAATTCCCGTTCTGTAAGTGTCAGTTGCTATCTAATTATACATTCACCTGTTTAACCACACCCACCCCACCTTCCTTTTGTGAATAAAGAATCGGACAGCCCCCGTCTGACTCCCAGCTGAAACAGTGTCACAGCCCCCGTCTGACTCCCAGCTGAAACAATGTCACAGCCCCCGTATGACTCCCAGCTGAAACAGTGTCACAGCCCCCGTATGACTCCCAGCTGAAACAGTGTCACAGCCCCCGTCTGACTCCCAGCTGAAACAGTGTCACTGCCCCCGTCTGACTCCCAGCTGAAACAGTGTCACAGCTCCCGTCTGACTCCCAGCTGAAACAGTGTCACAGCCCCTGTCTGACTCCCAGCTGAAACAGTGTCACAGCTCCCGTCTGACTCCCAGCTGAAACAGTGTCACAGCCCCCGTCTGACTCCCAGCTGAAACAGTGTCACAGCCCCCGTCTGACTCCCAGCTGAAACTGTCTCTCCAGCGGTGAACTGAAATGGGATGAATTGATCAAGAATTGGCATGACAGCACTCGGGACTTACTCGTGCAACATTAGCAACTCCCTGGCACAAACAATCAGATGTGGACGTTGTATATTTGAGGATAACGGCCATTATTAGTGGTACATCTACCCCACCAGGACATCACACAAGCGATAACCACCCGATGATACAAAGTGCCACCATGCGGATGAATATCACCCATGGAGAGGTCCCAGAAACCACGTTCAGCCGTTTGGCCATATTTATGGCCGGGTTGTATTGTGGCCCCTGGAAAGAGCCAGGGTGAGGCTTCATAATAACGAAAAATGGCATCCCACAGAGGATTAGGGTTACTACAGCCAGCATCTGTTCATTCCTATATACTGCCTTTAAAAAATGCGAATAGTTATTCTCTGGGCCTTATAAAAAATAAAATAATAATAATAAAAAAATAGTTGACGGGAGAGCCCGTACGCATAAAAAAAAGAGTCGATGACGCAGATGCCAAAGAGCCGTCAATCGATTGGTTGAACCCTAAAGTGTTTTGGTCCGTTTCATCAATTTCACCTATTAGATTAGAGAGATTTTAAATGGCGAATTCCTTAACAAATTAGGTTTCATTCAGTAACTATGCGTCTCCCCCCCCCCACCCTTTTTGTCACAGCCCCCCCCCCCAAAAAAAAAAATGCATTTTGCTTTTTAAAAGTATCTTTGCAGGAATGATCTGATTGCTTTTGAAGATCTCCTATTTGCATTTGATATCATTTCAGTCTCCCCTGTGAGTTTTGGGGTGGGGTCCCATCTGGGGCGCAGCGGGAAATTAGACCCACAGCATCTTAATAAGCATGAGGCAATGAGTCGTCTAACTGGGGGTAGGGGGAGGGTGGGTGGGTTGCCTTCAAAGCTGGGGCGCGTCTGTCTGAGCGGCGAGGAACTAACAGTCTGCATATAAATAAGATTGATCCGTAAAATGGATATGCACGCAAAACTCAAATTCTGGAACGAGATTCAAGCTAAGCAGTGGACAGACAAGTCAGAACATATACAACTGGCTACTGCTATAAAGATTGATTTTTTTTTAGGTTCCTAACAAGGAAATAATGTTATGATTTAATTGTTATAATTTGTCAATCAAAATAGAATTATGTTGGTTTTATTATTTATTACTGTTTAACAACAATGTTGGATTTATTATTTTACTGTTTAACACATACTGTTGGTTGATACAACGTGGGGATATTGTTATTTTGTATTGCCACGAGTCATTTTAAAATTGTATATTATATAGTGTGGGAGTGTGTGTGTTGGAGTGTGTGTTTGGGGGAATTAGTGTATGGGGGAGTGTGTGTGTGGGGGGGGGTATGTGTGTGGGGGAGTGTGTGTGTGTGGGGGAGTGTGTGTGTGTGTGTGGGGGGGAGTGTGTGTGTGTGTGTGGGGGGAGTGTGTGTGTGGGGGGAGTGTGTGTGGGGGGAGTTGTGTGTGTGTGTGTGTGGGGGGAGTATGTGTGTGGGGGAGTGTGTGTGTGGGAGTGTGTGTGTGGAATTGTGTGTCTGTTTGATTGTGTGTGGGGGAGAGTGTGTGTGTGGGAGTAGGTGTGTGTTTGATTGTGTGTGGGGAGTGTGTGTGTGGGGGAGTGTGTGTGTGGGAGTG